AGTATGTGGAAAATAATGTGTTTTTTTAACCTTAAACCGCATAAACACATTTCATTACACCAAATACACAAAATAATGTTCTTTTTAGCAACATCATATGACCCCTTTAAGGAAGGTATTATGACTACAATAGTTCAGAGTTCTGAAATTACAATACAGGTTATTTAATTTTTGGACCGGATTTTATCATCCTTTTGTGAAAATAAGAAGATGTGTATATAATTATTCTCAACCAGTAATTTACTGTATTATTTATTTTCTATAATACAAATATATCATTTTTATATTAATTTTATTATATAAATGTAATTTTTCAACAAATGAACCATAAATCTGTTAGAATAGTCCTAAAATATAGACTTTATTAGTGTGACATAATGTATCATTAGAATAGACCATGTGTTTCATTAAATCCTGGGGCCAGTTGCATAAACTTAGCCACCATCTTAAGACTGTGAAATAAATGTGTAAAATATAGTTCGACCAACTAGCAGTTGCCAAAGGGTAATCAGTTTTACTTTTCCAATACAAATAAGACCAATCTACCTTTTCATAACTGAATTTAAAAAGCTATGACCAGTCTTGAAGAAAAACAATTAGTTGACTAACTTTTTAAGACTAGTCTAAACCGTTTATGCAACCGGCCCCTGTTTTATAACTTGACCATCTTTTGTCTTGAAGAGGACATATTTGTTGCATATCGCTTTGTTATAATAGCACAGTTAAGTGCAGCCTGATACACAGTGATATAATGCATTTATAGAAAATAACTCTATGCAAAAGCCAAGTTTGTGCTATATGAGCAGCAAGATTCTCCTAGTATTCCAGACATGTTACCTGATACTGAACTTACGCTGATCTTCTTAAAGCTCCTCGTGTTCCTCCTCTGACGTCCCTTATTTCTCATAACCCCCTGTTGTGTTTCTGGTGCCCTCCCTCACACCTATAGATAGAAAGAGGCCTGTATAAATAGCTATATCATCATAAACACAGAGAGACAGACAACAAAAAGAGAGAAGGTGAACAAGGTAATACATACTCTTTATGATTTAAGTTCTAAGTCCTAATATTGATGTTATTTATTTATTTTGTTTGTTTATTTGTTTAGGGTTTTCTTTATTCTGAAATTGTGTAAAATTTTATTTAGATACACACACACACACACACACACACACACACACACATATATATATATATATATATATATGTATTACAGAGCTGGGTAGTAACTGACTACATGTAATCTGGATTACGTAATCAGATTCCAAAAATTAAGTACTTGTAATTAGATTAAATTACATTTAAAAATACAAAAAAAAATAATTGTCAGCCAAATCTCGTTTGCCTAATATATTTATTTGAAGTCCCCCTGAGATTTGAAGGTAATAAATTAATAATTTAGTATCACATTCGCAAGTTCACGGATCTCTGACTTGGTTAATGGTCACATGACATGCAGGTAAACATGTTATTGTTAGTGTTTTATTTTGATTGTTGTTATTTTAAAATTATTTATTTTAATTTTACATTTTTAATGATTTAATTATTAGCTTTTCATTAAACTCACAAACCCCCTGCAGTTCCTTTACAAAAAAAAAGAAATCTTGACGTAACATAATGTTTAGTGCCCTTCATAATGTTAATAACATGAAATGTAATATATATATATATATATATATATATATATT